ACAAGGTTTGGTCTTCAGCCTGAGCAGATTCCTCACCTTTACTAAGCTGACTGAGGTGTTATCAGGCCTTCCCCTAAACAGATCAGAAAAACCCGTGCAGGTGATTACATTATGAACAAAGGGGAAAAACAACAGAAACAAAACAACAGCGGTGGCCTGCAAGTCTCTGCTGGGGAAAGAGAGCCAGGCCACAGGCAAAGAGCCGAGCCTCAAGGTGTGTCGCTGTAGGCTGCAGGAAGGCACGGTGCTGACTCTGAAACCATCCCCCTGCCCTGGCTGCAAAGTACCTCCTGAACTGGCTCTGAGCTTTAGAGAATGAAATCCATTTTACCTGCCACAAAGAGGAGCTTGGTGAGGCCTCCCCAAGCCGGTGGGTAAAGGAGAGCTGCCAGTTCCCACCCCCCGCTGCCCCCTCCCAGGCAGAGCGGGGGGAAGGGGGAAGGGGCAGCCATGGCAGTAAGTGCAGGAACAATTCACTGGAGAGCCACGGTGCGCTTTGCAGTTTGCCCACTAATTACTATTAAGCCCCGGTTCCTTTTTGTGTTCCAAGGGGCGTCTTCAATGTGGCACTGCTTCTTGGGCCTTTCATGCGGCTGGGCTAACCCCTGAATAGCGGGCTCCCCCCGCCCCTCCTCGCTACCTCTCCCTTTTTCTTTCTCCCTTTTGCTTTTCTGATAGTATTTTCTGTCCATGTTGTGTAAGGCCCTAAATGAATCTTGACTGCCCCTACAGCCGACTGGAGACGCACAAAAGCAGCCCATTCCAGTGGCCACAGCGCCATTGTGTGCCCTAACAATGCACTAATTGGCGGCGACAATTGTGCGGCCGGGGAAGGAGAGGGGGCCGCGGGGGGGTGGGTGGAACACGGGACATGGGTCCTTTCCAATCACCGAGGCGGGTCACGGAAAAAAGAGAAGTGTGAGGAGGAGAAACGCGCTCTGCCCCGCGTCTCTCCCGCGGGCACGTCCGTGCCCGTCCCGGGCAGCTTGCTCCAAGGGCCCCCCCGCATTCCTACGCGGACGTGTAAGGCGAAAAATTGTAACGCGGGGCTGTGCAGAGCAAGAGATGTGCAATCTAAAAGGGTCGTCACAATCACAAACCAGGCTGTCTCACCATGCCAGAGGCTGGAGAACTCATGTGATGAGGACACCACTGAGATATTCATGGGAAAAGGTCACACACAGAGCCAAGATGCTGATGTTGGGGCACTCTGCCCTGGCTACACGTGGGAGACTGCTCACTTCTTTCTAAACTGAGCTTAACATATCTGTATTTTGCACCAGGACAGTGGGATGCAAGGACGGTGCCCTACAGCACTCTGCTGGGCTAGGTGCTGGTCCTGGGGAGTAGGAGCCTGTGGTGCTGTTGGGAGTATGGGAATGAATCTGGGCCTCATCCCCAGCACCAGCAAAGCTGAGGGCTGGAGGGATGAAAAGGACAATAGGTGCCATGGGACTGAAGCTGCTTATTGCCACTGTGACACCACCCAGGACTCGGGAAGGACTAACTCAGTCTCACACTGAAATATGGCAGGAATGAGCCCATGGATTTTGAAAGCTGTCCCAGTATGAAGTTAGGCCTGGAGTTTTAAGGCTGCTGTGGCTGACAAGTGAGGGACAGATTTTAGCTCTATTCATTAGCTTTTAAGATAGAATATGAGACAGGAAATGGCATGGCCAATGCTTTTGAGAAAGAAGTATGTAAGGCTCACCCAGTTGCATCGGCTCAAAATTAATTCAGACAGTTGAGAGACATGGGGTCAGATGCTGAAGTGCTCAAGATCTGCCCATCTGTTTTCCAAACAGCTCCTATCAGCTCCCTCAGAGAACAGTGAAGACCAGCAGGTGTGGAGCACTGTGGCTCCTGACAGAGAAAGCAAGGCTGGCAGCAATACTCAAGTTTATGAGGGGCTCTGAAATATCTTCTGGCAAAGGTCTTTCTCTTATTTGAAGCTGACTGACCTTTGAGAAGCATTGTCCACAGCAGGGTCAGGAAGCAGGTAATTCTCCTATCTCTCTCAAGACAGGTGTAGGACTGCTGTGGTGGGGGACACTTCTACTAGATGTTTTGATAAAGAAGAATTACTTCCTGCATCTGGAAAGAAGCAAGAAAACACTGTCCCATACAGTGTCATCTAAACAGGGAACAACTCCACAGGAGCCATCTCTAGTGGAAGAGCAATACTCTTCTATAGTAAGTCCCATGTATCAGCATGGCTTGGAGAAGCAATCTTGCCATAACCTCATGAAGGGCAGACACAACAAGCAGGGAGGACAAACTGGAGCTACAGACCCATGGACAGGCAGGCACTGTGCCTGGATCTAAACTACCCGGTGCTCTGACTGATTGGGACTGGCGTTTCAGTTTGGTCCACTACATATAAACACTAACTAAGATGAGAAGTCTGGTCCTGCAGCCAAAACGCCGAGGGGAAGCCTACTGTGAGCCCAGTGTGAGAAGCAGAGTTGCAACAGCCTAGAGCTGGAAGTGTGCATAGTCCAGGGTACGCTGTGTAGAAACCCTGGACTCTTGCCCTTTTCACCCCATGGCAACATGGAGCACAGTAGTTCTCTTATTGTAATCTCTCAGAGTTCATGGTACAGCATTTCTATGAAACACCAAAGGACATCTCTACTGCCAGGAGGAACCCTAATCTCTTCACTTGTTGCAAGGTGGATTCATAAGCTATTTTAGCTCCTAACATTTGGTGGTAGCAACATCCTCCCCAAGACAAAATCATTAGTTACCTGCTCTAAACATAGTAAATGTGCTTCTGCTTGCCCTCCCCTAGCAGGCCTCCACACAACTCCTGCTGACAACTATGGAAACATTCCCATGGATTACCACAGATGCAGGAGGAGGGCCTTATATAGTGAGACTTCTCTGCCTCCCCTTTGCCCTAAGCCCTTCACAGAAGTACTTTATTGTTTTATGACAGTGCAGTTAACACTTGACATAAATCTCTAAGCACAGCTAACAATGTTGATACTGTGTAAATACCTACAGTAGAGACCTGTATTTTATTATGCTTTTGCCCTCTTTTACCTGTTATCACCCAGGGTTAACTCTGTGCTAAATGCACTTGTATTTCACAAGGAACCTGCCAATTTTATGCACCGCTACACCTCTCCTGTCTTAAATACTCAGAGCCCAGTTCTGGTTCTTTGACTAACTGCGGTTTTCACTGGAGCCAGCAGGTCTTGAATCCTGTAAAGGATCCAAGGTAAAGGATCGAACATGCTGTCTGTCAAATCCAATACAAGTGTCCTTCAGAAGTGCAGAGTCCAAGGCAGAACAGGACATTTTGCAATATGTACACAAGCAAGTATCCACCAATGTCACAAGCCGCTGCATGACAATGTCTGATGACAGGATGGTGCTGGCATTTGTTTTCCACCCTAGCCTTGCTTTCATGAGCATTTGTACCCCTGCTCTCAGAAATCATTGCAGGGGAAGGTACAAACTGAGGGAGAGACACAGAATCACAGAATAAGTTGAGTTGGAAGGGACCCACAAGAACTAGGGAGTTGAACTCCTGACCCTGCACAGCGCCATCCCCAGGAGTCACACCCTGTGCCTGAGAGCATTGTCCAAAGACTTCTTGAACTCTGCCAGGCTTGGTGCTGGGACCACTTCCTTGGGGAGCCCATTCCAGCCCAACAACTGGAATCTTTCCCTAATACCAACCTAAATCTCCATGACACAATTTCAGGCCATTTCCCCAGGTCCTGTTGCTGGCACCACAGAGATCAATGTTTTCCCCTGCTCTTCCCCTCACAAGAAAGTTGTAACTGCAGTGAGCTCTCCCCTCAGTGTCCTCTTCTCCAGACAGAACAGACCAAAGGACCTCAGCTGCTCTTCATATGGCTTCCCCTCAAGGCCCTTCACCATCTTTGCTGCCCTCCTCTTAGATGCTCTCTAATAGCCTAACCTCTTACTTGTATTGTGGTGCCCAAAACTGCACACTCCTTGTGTTTCATTACTTTGTTGCTGCACTTCAGTTATTTGCCTGCACTGTCAGTCAGAAATGAGATTAATTTATAATCCTAAATGCTAGGAAATCACTTTGGACTGAACTGCTCCATGCATGCTGATTATATCTCCTACTTTCTTACACTGATTCAGTAATTTGTACTTTCTTATTTTTAAACAGTACCTAACTTAAATAATAATTCCTTCTTATTTACTTCTAAATGCATCATATTGTACCTACATGATAAACACCTGAGAATTTTTAAGTAAAAAGTTCAATGCTTTAACACAAGCTCTTATCTGACTTGTCTTGCTTTCCAGATGAGCCTCACACCTTCGTTTTTAATATCTAAATGAATGCCTTGAAACTAAATTACAGAAAATTGGAAGTCACTATAAACAACGGACTGACTTTTTAAAAGCATGTTTGTAGCTTCAATGCCAAGTTTTATATTTGTCTATGCTTAAAATGGATGGAATTTACTCCTGCTTGCCTTGGAGACTTTGTCTGGTTTTAATTGTGACACTTGATTATCTGAGATGCTTTTCACCACCTTCTCATAGTGGTAATACTCAGGCCTTTAAATGGGACCACTATTTTGGAGAGTATTTAGTTAAACAAGAACTCTTTTAACAAGACAGTCCAGAGCTATGTACACACACTCCCAGAATATTTTCACTTGCCCTCAGCGTGCTTTCACTGAAAAGGTATGGTAAGCCTCACAGCCAGTCCCTAAGGAAAGGAGGAGGTTGCTAGCTCCACTCTTTCAGAAAACCAGTCAACTTCACATATTAACCCAAATATTCTTAATTTTGGTCTGAGAGCTGGAAGGGTAGCTCTTTTAAAATGAATTATCCTGAGTTTAAAAGAAGAGCTAGAGCTTAGATTGGCATGCTGTTCCCAGGGCTCCACAGAGCCCACTGTCTCTGCTCTGCCTGGATGCTTTTTCACACCACCTCTTACAGGGTGAAGTGAGGAGGGGAGGTGGCAGTGAAAGGGGAAGGAGATGTCATAACAATTTGCTCACCTTGTAAAGCAAATAAGGAGGAAGAGAAGGTCTTGCACATAGTTTCCTTGTGCAGCTTGTGTGGTCCTGGTCAAACATTAACTCATCACTTGTAGCTGATTTCATCACAGAGATGAAGTCCAAAGGTTCCTGCAGGAGAGAGGATTGACATTCCTGATGGACTTCTGGTCTTTCTGAGGAGGGGCAGGAAGATAGTGAAGGAGGGGATATATCCTTCTCTTTGAAAGCTGCCAGAGCATAGGGCTGGCTGTGGAATGCTCTGGGGAGTCTCAGGCAGGGCTTTTAGGCCCATGAGCTCCACCATAGCTCTGTGCTGCAATATTTAGTCATTGAATCCAGATTCAAGGAGCTACAGAAATTCCTTAGCTGGTGCACTGAAAGAAACAACCAAGAACAACAAGAATCTTGCCTGCTCCTACATCCATAGGTGTGAGAACCCTCATAACACGGGCAAAGTCCTGCCCTTCCAGCCCCTCAGGGGTCCCCTCAGTCCACCTGGGAGATGCCTCCCTTACTCAGAGTTCAAGGCCCTGGCCTTGCACCCTTCTGGCAGAGAACATGTGGCAGCCACACTAAGCAGCTGCTGCTGCAAGCCTCCCAGGAGCTCTGTTTCCAAGGGTGCCTCAAAGCCACAATAAGCTCCCCTGGGAGCTTGTGGCAGGGGTCAGCACCATCAAAAATCTAGGAACTTGTGGTGTTCCAAAACCACAAGATTTAACTGGGAATCCAAACCCCCAGAGCCTGATGCAGACATCAACAGTACTTCCAGAGGCCCTCCTGGCTGAGATCTGAGAACAGTAAGTATCACATTTTCTTAGTTTCAGAAGACTTTAACCAGCAGAGAAGCATTTTGAAGAAAACTATCACTCTTTCAGAGCTTGCCCTGCCCATGGTACAGTACCCACCAGAAGGGAAATTAAAAAGGACGAGTAACATTTTTTAGTGTTTATTGAGAGTTGCCTTTATACAGGAGGGACTGGTGCTCTGATGCAGTCACAAGTGAACTTGAAATAAATACCCAAATAAACTCTGCTCAAGTGTCAACAAGCAATTCAACTCAGTGGATTTAAATTATAACATCATTACACATCAATAATAAATTAGGACTACTGCCCAGTAGTTGCAGATAATTTAAAAAAATATCCTTGTCAAAAGTAAAAAAAACAAACCAACAACGCAAACAATGAAACACACAGAACAATGTTGCAAATAAGTTAACACAGTAGCACACACATAAGGGTATTCCAAAAACTCAGGGTGCACTGCCAGCAATGCTAAAATTGACTGTAAGGGGTGCAGGTGAGCTGGTGCTCTGGCAGGAAGGAAAGGCCAGGCTGCCAGGGACCACATCAGCCACTATGCTCTGCTGCTCACACCTGGCTTTCAATTGCCTTGACTGAACTCAAGTTGATTTGGAAGCTGCCTTTGTCACTTAATACCTATGAAACACACATTTTGCTCATGAATTTACTTTAGCTTGCCTCAAGTATAGCAGGGACTTACGTAAGGTAACTTGGTATCACAGGTATTAATTAAAAATCAAAACTGAAAGCACAGTTTAGTTTAAGCAAAATCAACTTGGTAGACAAGTGCATAAGCAAAACTGAAACAAATCCTTTTTCCACCAAAACAATGCTGTGTATTCAAGGATCCATATTGGTTTAACATGTGGATTAGACAGGAATAAATAAATAATTGAGCTGCTGACACCTGTGCACAAGGACAGAGTCTAATACACTTTGGTCCTAGACAGCAGATAGCTCTCCAGACCTAGATATCTCTGATGCTGACCACAAGTGGCATGTTTGCAATTTGGATTAATGGTCTCCCTAAGGAATTTGGGTGAAATTGTCATTTTAACATATGACTCACGCCATCACGGCCACACCAGGGTTTTCAAGTAAAGAAGGATTTTGCACATTATTATCTAGGCTGTCTCCTCACTGTACTGCTAAAATGCAGTAGCAGCACTGCTGCTGCTAAGGGGATTCCTGCTACTGGTGTCAAATGTGGACTTGTGCCCCAGGCTGACACCTGCCAGATACTTTAGCAAATAATGCTAAAATTTCAATGGGTTAACCCTCTCTCTAAGGTGAGGCTGACTGAACCCCCACTGGGTCAGCCTTCAGGGAGCCAGGCTGCATTAAAATTGAGCTGAGGAAACACCTTCACCTCCACAGCACTGGACCCAGCTGTGCAAGCAAGCAGGGGGCTTGGTATGGGAGTCTCTGGCCAAGGGTTCCAGGAGGAGCAAAACTGCATGTGACCTGATCCTGTTTTAATTCTCTGTACCTGACATTATTATATATGCACACCTTCTGAAGGTCTTGCACAACTGCATCTCAGGCTAAGCAGCCAGCAAGTCTCCAAAACACACATGATAAGAACCAATACCATCTCCACACCATCCTCTCTCATAATGCCCTCACAAAGCATGGACAGTAAACAAATTTTATGGTTACCATTCCTAGTACGATGGAAACTGCAAGGGTACTACACAAGCAAGGGTTTTAAACTCCGATGCCATAAACGTTGCATGATGGCAGAGCATTTCTAAAAAAAATTATTCACCTCTCAAAATTTAAGGCACCAAAAGGAGCAAAAGTGAGGAGTTCCCACACAGCTTGGTGTCTTCAGAGCTGGTATATGAAGCCTATAGAGCTAACTTCATGAGGGCAGAACAAGCAAACTGATTTACTCAGCTGCTCCTGCAAAAGACCAGGCCCAGCCATACGAGCATTTCAGTTTATGTCTACAAGTCAATAAAACAGCAGATGCAATCAGGAAATCCAAAACAGGAAGAGAGACACTAATATACTGTACTGTAAGGCACTCCTACTGGGAAGGGAAAATTGGAAGGCAAATTACAAAGGAGAGAACGACTGGACTCCACTGGTTCAAAAGCGGCACAATGACCTATGAAGCTCCAAGCCTGGCTACAGGCTCAGTACTGTGAGTAAGGAAAGGGACAGAGACAGTGGAGAGAGAGTGGAGACTGGCTTGCAACTCAGTGGCAGGAAAAAAAAAGAAGATTATGATATTATTCAATTTTTTTTTTATACAGATCAACAGTCAGCTGCAATCCAGGCAGTGACCTTTGGGAAGCTTAGGAAACTCAGTGGCTTTTGTTGCTACAGGGAAAAAGCAAAATTCAACTGGGCAGCCTCCCCATTTCATTGTAAACAGACATCCTCTGCTCTTTTTAAAAATCTTTCAAGGCATTATCATCAATCTATTGTAATACACACACTATCCTAATAATAAGAGAAGCCTTGACAAGAGGAGCTCTAGAAATACCCTGATGATTCACTCCTAACAGGGCCATCAGAGCCTGTGCAGTACTGCAAAAAACTTAAGTCCCTCTCAAAAGAGTACCTTCCCTCAAACCTACCAATTCCTACGGATCCCAGCAGCAAGCTCATATTGGTATGTGCCAGCCAGGATATTTTGTCACATCATGAACCCATCATTTTCCACCACATAAGACAGACAAAAAACAAGAAAAGCAATAGGAGGATTCCTACACAAGAAACACAAATTTATCTTTTTATAGATTGATAATACAAAAAGAGCTGAAGTTTGCATCACCTAAATAGGCCCATCTTCCCATTAAAGGAAAGGTAGATGGTTAGGGTAAAGAGGAAAAGAGATTTGAATGAGGATCTCAGTAGTGTCCTAGATTAAAATAATATCAGACTAACAACTCTAAGTACCTGTAGAGAGTGAAGCTATGGTCCACTGCAGTTAAGCATCCCATTTTTACACAGATGACAAGTTCTGTACAAAGCAAAAGCAGTAACTGGATTACAGATCAATTCCTTCTCAGTCAGTTATGAAAGCATCTTCTCTTTGAAGAAGACAAACAGCATATTTCGTTCTTGATTCACAATGAAATGGCATCATTCAAATTTATTTCATGCGTGAGTAGGACAAGTCCGAAGTACCAATGCATAATTTCACCTGGGGGGGGGGAGGATGTTGGAGAGTGGTGCAATCTGCAAAGCCCCCAGGAACTTTACCAGCTGATGCTCATCCAGAAGTCTGCAGAGCAGAGCCCCGTGCAGGCTGTGGGCTGCAGAATGGGCACACAGAGCAGTGGGGACCAGCACAGAGCACTGGTGAAACAGAAGAGACAACCATGCAAGGGTACAGCGCTGTCTGAAACCCAAACCACCTGCAGAACCCCAGGCTGATGCTCCTGCTTGCAGATGGCTCCTGCAAGAAAATTGACTGAGGGCAGGATTAAGCCTTTCATTATGCTTACAAAAATTGGTGACAGAATATTTTATCTTACCCATTCATAAGGAATAACTGGTTTTGGGTAAAAGCTAGGCATCCCTGAGAGGACATCATCTTTCACCTTACAGCCAGCTCCTAGAGCTACTGTGAAGTTTTATCACTTTTCCAAAGTAGAAATTAACATCTATTCATTTTAGGAACTAGCTGGTTTACAACACCACTGGATTTTAAAGCAAATAGCCTGATCTGTACTGTACAGTATCCTTCAACATAAAGCTCTGGGTACTGACAGAATATCATAACATGCTCTTGCTCTGTGTCATTTGTAATGGCAGTGGTTTCAAACCCATGATTAATTTCAGCAGTTTTGCCAACATCATACTTTTTTTATCCTTTAAATCTCTGTTAGAAAAGAAACTGTTCTGTAGTACATGCACAAACCCAGAGCAACTCCAATGCTGTTTATGTTGTTATTCCAGCATTCAATTCCAATATCTAACCATCCACATGACTGGTACTTTGGAGATAGGACATCTGTCAAAGTAACTAATATTTTGCAATGTCTGAACCTTGATTCCTTGACTCCACATGGTTTTTGACAGTGCACTCAAGCAGCCTTCTCCAAACTGAGGTGGACATGAACAAGCACTGTGAGGTATTATAAATACCAGAGCATGATGATATGTAAAACACCACCATTTTTTTCTTTAATGACCTAACATTATGTCTACAGATAATTCAAAATAGTACCTGCCAGATGCTGACAGTTTCAGAGCTACTGGCTTTGCCACAGCAGTAATTGTAGTGACACAAGCTGAAAAACATGGGAGCGTTCTGTTTATTCAGCCAGTACCAGTGCAGTTCCTGTTTGCCTGACTAATT